TTCCAAATATTTTTACTAAAATAAATGTTATTCGTTACATGTCAATAAACAGATTTGATTAAACGCTTGTTTCCTTCTTAGCAACTTGTAGATAAATGTTCTGATTTTTCAAATAAAATTTACTGATCTCAGCCTGTTGTATACTATTTAAGTTTGTATTTTTGTTTACATTTTCTATTTCATTGTTGGAATCAAAGTTTTTTACAATATTGCAATGAATTGATATAAGTGATCTAGTGTCAGTTAAACAATTGATAGTCTTTTCTTTAGACTCTTGTGGCACATTAGTGTGATTTCTGTTAGATAACGTGATTTCAGTAGGAAAACAAGAATTGTATTCCTTTGTGCATGCATTAGAGACACATTCAGCGTTTATTAAAGATTCATACTTAAATTTCAATGGTTCCTCTAAGTTAGGTGTACTTTCACTATTGAAGTTCTTTTTTTCAGAAAATAATTCAAATTGATTAAGTGATTTTCGTGAAGCAGAAACCCGATTAAACAAAATTGAACTTTCAGTACATTGTGCGTTTATTAATAATGATTTCGAATGTTCACAGTTCTTTGAATTAACGAAAGATGTGATGTCATTTAGTGAGTTACAATAATTACTTCTTAAAGGTTTCGTAGTGTCTACTGGAAGACAGAACATACTATTAGAATGAGATATAAGTTGTAAGTTACTTTTTGAGTGCCGTTGTCTTGTTTCATGAGATTCATTCATGCTTTGACATCTTTTCCTTACAAAATTTTCTTCTACAACCGTTTCTGCAATTTCATAAATTTCTGGTAAATTATGATCACTCTTTTCACTGGTCATTTGAGTAGCTGATTCTATTTCAGAGCTGTATTCTAAACTACATTGTTGTGAAACATTTCGCAGATGTTTCTCTTCATCACTTTTAACATCTACATCTGACTCATGTGATATAGTCTTTTGCAATCTGCAATTGTTGTTAATTTTATTGACATTTCGAAGAAGACTTTCTTGGCCAATAACAAACCGCATTGGAACATTTCTCTCTTCTGACATGCTACCACCGCTATCCGAGAGAATGTTAACGTTCTTAGAATCCGTTATTGGATTCAATTCGACATGTATATTTGTATTATTTACTTTTGCACTAGTACTTAGAATAGTTTGACCTATATTACTTTCTAATTTTGCAGTAGATCGCGGTGCAGACATACAACTGCCAGCGTCACTAGTAGCACCGCCATCACCTTGTTTCCTAGGACCAAGATTATTATTCTTTGTATGACGGCGTTGCTTCCTAAAAAACTTCCTAGCAACACCACTTTGATGTGGGTTATAAAACATTTCAACACAAGTCGGTTCAGTATATGTTGTAACAGAATTATTAGATCTATATTGTTGACGGTGTAATACAACTAAATTTACATTTGCCATTTTTCTAACATCAGGCAAGGATTCTCGATTGCTTAAAGCATCTGTAAATTTAAATGCATTACACGTTTGAGATCTATTCGTACACCTCGACGAATTAATAGAATTGGAGTCAGATGTTACTTGAATTGCCTGAGAATTAGATAACGGTGGCACCAAATGTTGTGCTAGAGGATGCGTTGGTATTACAGGATTTGTATCAGAAATGCTTCTTGTTCTGCAACAACGGTTTTTTCGCTTTTGAAGCCAGCAACTCATCTTCAACCACTCTGATTTAACATCGTTTCGTACAATTCCATAAAAAAAAAGTAGAAAAATACCAAGCGAACTTGAAAAAAGTGAATATAAAATGGAAAATATGATTTCATCAAATAATATGTATGAGCTGAATGGCTTTGCGGTCGCTGCTGCTGCAGTGAACCATGATATTAAATATAAAATAAATACAACAATTTGGCCTTTTAATTGTCCTATTTGAGTGTGTTCAGAATCTACAATATCAGACGATACTGGTGCACTGTGCATGCTATTTCTATTCATAGGCAGATTCGTGCTTGGTTCTAATAATTCTAAATCCATGTTTTCTGTACCTTGTGTACCTTCAAATGATTGAGCAGTCACATCTTCATTTTGAAGTGCACATTTAATAAGTAAATAAAAAATTATTAAATATACAATTAAAATTGCTGCTGGAAGAAATAGTGCAGCAAGAGCAGGACCTGATGTAAGAAAGCAATAAGAATGTCCTGCATATTCCTGGAGATTGATTGCTCCAGATATACCACAAATTATCATAGCTATACCCCAGCCAACTAAATAAATGCCTAGTAATGGTTTTGGTATTGGTTCATCTGACAGTTCATTATTTTGAATGTCTTCAAGGTCTGGTTTAGAAAACTGATTATACATATTGCTGCAAATAAATTAAGTTTTTACATAACGTCGTTTAACAACAATGCAAATATAATCTATAAAATGCATTAATAAAGACTTTGATCTGAAAAAACTAGGTGTCTTAACTAACTTGAATACCTCAAATATCTCGCTTATTGTTTCTTTTAGAATATAAAAAGTAATTACCTAGCAGTTGCTGCCATCCATAGTAGACAGCACAAAGATAAGTAGTGAAGTGTTAAGCCAACTCCTTGACAAATTTGAATGTTTTCTGTTTGATGAATGCCAACAGTATAAGAGAATGTTAGTAATGCTACAGCAAACCAAGTATTAATAACACAGTGTTTTGCTTTTTTTGGCATAGCAATCGATGTGTAACAAATAATATATGTTACAAAGATAATAATTAAACATGTAATTGTCACAGCACTTCCAATATATATCGCAGGATTTGAGTATTTAAATTTTGCTCCAAGTAAACTAAAAAAGAGATAAGGATGAAATTCAAAGAAGATATCGAGGCATTATTAAATACATACCTATTGGTGCTTCTATCAAGATAAGAAATATCTTGCAGAAGTCCATAATATCCTAATCGATTGCAATGAAATAATATTAAATTGTTTAATTCACTTCTTAAATGACAACCATCGCTCGTCCAACCACCTGATTTATCAAGTGTTTCATCCCAAACCATGGGCTGCAATCTTTTTGCAGAATAATAATAAGTCGGTATTCTTAACATAACATACACAGGTTCAGTTAAATTTTTTACCGATATTCCAACTGAAAATGTTTTAATTTTATACACTATTACTTAATTCATGCATTTTTCTATGAATATATATTATCCATACATACATAATTTGCTTCCAATAATACACGATGTAATATCCATATTATTATTGTTATTAGGAAATTCATTGTTGATATTATCACTAATAGGAAATAATTTATTATTGCTATATGCAGAGATCATTAATTGATGAGTAATGATTTCTTGTGAGTATTCTAATAATGAAGCAGGCAAATGTATCGAAGCTTCTATTATTTTGTCTTTTGTATTAATTGGAGTACTTCTATTGTTTGTGGTGCATTGTAAGAATTTTGAGTCGGGGTCGCCAACGAAAGCAACATTGGAGTACCATGTACATATTAACCCGGAAAAACTGTTGCGTTTTATCTTAAATTCTTCTAGAGCCATGTTTTTTCTGAATGATTGTATTGATGGAGTATATTGCACAATTTTTTCCACTGTTTTTATAAGCCTTGTGCATGACTTGAAAGAAAGTTCGGCTCGTTTTAATATGGTTTTTGGCAAATTACTCACAGAACTAATAATATCAAGTAATATAGTACCAAGATCCTTTTCTTCAACTAAAAAGTTCAAGTATTTTTCTATAGTTTGAGTTATAAAATTTACTTCAATAGGATCAGTTACTTTAATGTCTTGCCCTGTGTAATTTTTAAATTTTTTGGCAGTTTCCAATAAATTGATCTTTGCAAGAGAAAGATTAGCTTTAGAAAATTGTTCTAAGCTTTTTGTTGTCTGGGATATATAAGGACACAGTTCTGTATTTAGGCTTTCCCAATATCCCGTGTTGTTGCAGTGATAAAACGCTTTTGAAGGCATTTGCATTGAACCTGAGAAATGATTGCCTTCACATGGCAGTTCTGCTCTCCATCCAACCACAGTTTTTGGCCATGTGTAAACACCCTTATTGCTCTTAGTTACTGCAACACATTGATTTATTAAATATTTATTTGTATCAGTATAACAGTAATGGTTACTAGTTTCAGGGATGAACCTGCATCCTTGGATTAATGGATATTTGTAAAGAAAATTGTCACAAAATTGTCTGCAGTCGCTCAATGAGTACTCCTTTTCTTAGAAAACTTCATATCTAGAGCCCTTAATCTAATCATTTATTGAATGCTTACTAAAATTTCATTAATTTATATCTTGAAAATTATTTGTTATAGAATATTTTAACTTCAAATTTTTTTCCTACAAATGCTGATTAATATAAATATGGAAGCATAAAATCACCTCTGAGAACAGTAACCATTTCTTTTGATACATCTTGTGCGTATAATGTTTTACCTGCTAGAGGACAATAACGAGTTTGATCAGAAATGACAATCACAATAATTGATTTTGTTCTATTGCCATTCACTGAAAGTAATAAACAATTCCACTGCCCATTATGTTCTTCTTTAACTGAAATAATACTAAGTGAACTGAAAAAATAGTGATATAACTATATCAATGTACACAAATATATAAAAATACTAATTTATCTTTGTATGAAATATTAAATACCTGTCTACTATTCCACTGTCTTTAAGATATCGATTATCAATTTTAATATTAGATAAACTTTTTTGTGGATCTGAAAATGCATTTAAATCCACAACATTAGTAGTAGTGTTAGGATACCATAGCCAACTCAATTTTGCATTTTTATCTTCCGTGATACTTGGAGCTCTACACTTTAAAGTCAATGAATCTCCAGCAAAAACGACTTGATTTTGGATAGGTCGAAGTTCTATTGTAGGAGGTGCCCATTGGCATTGAATATTTTCTGAATATCTTAGTTTTTTTACGAATTCTCCTTTAATATTTTCAGGAGATGTACATTTTGGAGCATTACTGAAACATCGAACACAGTTTATTGCATATCTATGAAAACGAAAATAAAAGTAAGTTTTATAAACAAATATATATTACATTAACTTGACAGAACTCTTATGAACCCAATCACTAAACCAATATAATTCACAATCACATTTCCATGGATTACCAGAAAGATCTCTAAAACAGAACATAAAGTTGAACTTCCTTAGATAGAATATACTTAAATTAGAATTATTACTTCATTCTAAAGATTAATACTAGCAACTAAGTCAAGTTCATGGTCTACATTCTAAGTAAACTC